CTGTGAATAGTTGCTAAATGAGGCAGTCGCTAAGCGAGGCCTACCTGTAGCTCGACAGTTAGAAATGGCATTTTTACTTACGGCTCCCGCTTGTGAAATTGACTCCCCAGAGATGGTTGCTGAGTACCTCATTATTCTCAACAGTAACAAACATCATTGTTACATCTAGTATTGATTGATTATGTGTGATCAAGTCGTAGATTGGGGGGCTCTTCAGACAGTCATGCCCTAGTTACCTCACAGCTTGACTACTGCAAGATACTGCACTTGGGACTGCCCTTGAAGACCACCTGGAAGCTTCACCTGGTCCAGAAGGTGATGGTGATGGGCATGCCTGGAATGCAGAGGTAACACCTCTGCTTTGTGATCTGCACTGGTTGCCTGTTTGTTTCCAGGTACTATTCAGGATGCTGATTGTTATCTACAAAGGCCTATGTGGCATCGGGCCTGGTTACTTGAGGGGCTGCCTGTCTCCCATAACATTTGCTTGGCTGATTTGATCCTGCAGGGTTGGCGCGCTCTGGGTTCCTTCAGTTCAACAATGTCATCTATTGGGACCCCAGAAGCATGCCTTCTCTGTAGCAGTGCCTGCCTGCTGGAACAAGGTTTCCCCCGAGATGCAGATGGCCCCCACGCTGCTGTTGTTCAGAAGAGCTGAGAAGACCTGGCTTTTCACCCGGGCCTTTGGTGAGGGAGAGGGAGACCCCTCGCCTCATTGCACTTGCCATCTTTGATCTTTTATTGATTTTATTTAATTTCCTTCCCCCTTTCCCAGCATCAGGGCCTTCTCCAGACAGCTAGGTCTTTGCATAATGTGTCCAAAGTAGGACATAGATTCCTTCAAAATGCTCTGCAGGGGGCTGCCCCTGAAGATTACCACGTAGCCGCAATTGGTGCAAAATGCAACAGCCCAGCCGTTGGAGCGGCTATACATGTGAACCAGAAGGGCGGGGCTCTGCATCGTATGGTTCTGCATATGATTGGAAGTGGTGATTTTGACCTATAAAGCCCCACATGGCTTGGCTTGCGGGTATCTACAGCCCTGCCTGCTCCAAATTGAACTGGCTCTTCCAATACGCCCATCCCAAATAGATTTGTTGAGAATTCAGACCCTTGGTAGGAGATATTGATTTATTAAGAAATATTTATATACCCCCCCCCCATCTTACAATATAACCCTACATGGCTAACATCATCCATCCCATATAATATATTAAGAAATACAAACAACACCCCCCTCTGATTTGATGGGGTTCACCACTCCCTCCCTTCCTGATTTCGATTCTTACCCTGTTTCCTGATATTCGTAAAGGCAGGAAAGACTGAATTGTTTTGCAGAGCTTTCAGTGACCAAGACTGTAGACAGGAAGCATCAACATGGACTTTTTTGGTCTTGTTTTTTTAACTGTAGTAATTTTAAGTCTGTTTTTATAGCTGGGGTCCGGTTGTTTTAGTACATATTGTAACTGCTATGAATCCTATAGGATTCAGGATTCCTCCATATTCAGCCTCCTATAATTTAGGGAGGGAGGAAGGAAGGAAGGAAGGAAGGAAGGAAGGAAGGAAGGAAGGAAGGAAGGAAGGAAGGAAGGTCTTTTCAACTTCTCCCCCGCTTCTCCTTATCATTTCATAAAGCTATTTTGCTACTGACTTTATTGAATATTGTTTTGCCCCTAGTTTTACTGTATTTTTACCTGCTTATTTGTTGTTGTTGTGACTAAAATATTTATCTAGATAATGCTGTTGGTTTTATTATTTTATATTGTTTTATATTAATTTATATATTGCAAGAAGTTGAAGTTGCTGTAAATAAACCACCAAATAACAAAGCCTCCAGTGGACCAGACTAAACTTCACTGGCACAAGGGCTAGTGACATGCATAGCCGGGGCGTCAGCCTTGTGAGGTAGACCAGACAGGAAACACAGCTAAATGAGTTAATTCTACTTTATTGTAAGGTTATATTAACATAATCCTGCAAGTCTGAAACTACATTTCTCCCCTCATCCCTTTTACAGCTCAAGAAAATAGGGAGGGTCCCTTCTGAGCTTCTTGGCCCTCCCACATTCCTGCTGCAGGCTAAGCTGCCTTTTATCTGACTGTTCTCTTGGCTGCATCTCTTCTCTCTTTCTCCCAAGGTCATTACATACATTTACATCAGGGCATCTACAGCAAGAGTGAAAGAAGTCAAAATGGAGGCTTCAACCACGTGATTGAAGCCCTGCCTGGTTTTAACACGGTTCGCAGCTGCCATCTTGACTTTTTGAACCCTCCTCTGCAGATGACCTTGACCCCAGCAGTAACTCTTTGGAACTGGTTGAAATCCTTTATAGACAGAATCTTTGCAAGCCCATACAATAGCAGTAGGTAAGCTGAGTTGTCCATAATGGACTCTGGTGAAAAGAACTCAGGCAAGAGAACTTGGCCAAAATTACAGAATAAAATGAGGATAGAGATGGGATTTGCATCTTCATACTTCCAAACTCGTAATGCACCTTTTCCCATTTGTCTTCTTCAAATCTGTGCAGATCTCAGCCAATGGTCACAACCGGGATAGCCTGATTTGTTAATTCCAGGCAGCATTGTGGGTATGGCAGGTTATGGCAAAATCCATCCATCCATCCATCCATCCATCCATCAAGGTGGTGGCCACAACAGTGTGGCTGAAGCTCTGTCTGTTTTATGTGCACAGGCAGAGGTAAAAAAGAACAGCTATTTCCTGTTAGGATTATTGTGCTATTTTATCATTGCCCGCTGCTTAGATGGTTTGGGAAAGGTGATCAAAAACATTTTCAATAAACAATAAGATCTTTTTTCTTCCTTTTTCCTCTTTCGCATCTCCCAACCATCCACCCAGTACGCCATCTGGACAGCCATTTGGGTCACCTGGAACATTTTCATCATCTGCTTTTATTTGGAAGTTGGCGGTCTTTCGAAGGTGAGTGAAGTTCGTGTCTGAGCATCCAGAAATAACAAAAAGAGGGGGCCAAAAGGGTCTGGCAGGAGAGGGCTGTAGGGTGGGGGAGTGTCCAGTCTGCTGGAGGAGAGAGTCTGCTAACAGACATCCAAGTGTAGGTCAAGAGGTCTTGTGAGTGAAAAGCCTGCTAGTTACCACGCTTTAAGATTCAGGCTGGAAAGAGAAGCCGGGAGGGGGGAATAGGGGATTAAATTATTCTTCCATAAACTGAATCCAATTTAGTGCTTTAATGCCTCTCAAAAGAAAAGGCTATCAGTCACTGCAAGCTCCTTGCACGATTTGGAGAGAAAATTAATTTCTTGAACCCCTTCCACCGTGGCTGCATGTTGTTCTATGGATTCCCGTTTCCCCTTCGGACACTTACACTCCTTTGGCCTGTCTTTTAAGCTTAAGATTTCAAAGTTCTTATTTTTTTAAAAAATGGAGGGAGACTTCTTATGCGCCCCCATGGACTATCACACAACCTCCATGCACAGTGGTGTTCCTTGAAGGTAATTTTGTCCAGCAGTTCTTCCTGCGGGCAAGTTTTTGTCTGTAATTTCAGTCCTTCCACAGGGTTGCTTGATGTGGGTCAGATGTGAAGAGTTAGAAGTACATTTTCTCCCCAGTCCTTAAATATGGCTGTTTGACCTAAAAGTGGTATGATTTTTCAGAATACACACCCGGACGCATTTAAGCTTTTTCAAGGTTAGATTTAAGTAAAGGATGTAAGACCTATTTTGGAGACCAAGAACTTTTCTTGTAATCATCTTGGAAGAACAAAGTAAATATTCAGTTACACATCTTTATATAGAGTTGACTTCAGTGACAGTTGCAAATCAATTTCCACAATATTAGCCTTACATGCTGAGGGTTGATCTACACTGAAAACAGACCTTTTTAATATTGATGTCCTTGTTGTAGTTGGCTTCTCCCAAAGGATCCTGAGAACCACAGTTTATTGACCGTATTGGATTTCTCCAGGAAAAGTAGCTACTCTTCCTCTCTAGCCCCTGGGAATCCCAGGATTCAGGATTTCCAGGGCAGTGGGAATAATTGAATAAAATAAGAATAAATCTATGGTGCTGACAGGTTTTGATGGGGTTTCATTTTGTCTCTGATGGATCTTAGAACTGTGGAATGTTCTGTAGTTTATCATATATATATA